TGTGCAAACTAGCGCTCGACAGTACTATTGAAATTTGTCTCGCCCTCTCTCAATTCCCCGTTTATTTTTCGAACAATTGACACTCCGGTGTCACGTAACTCATATTAGAGGGTGGCTCGAATGGATTTCTTGAAAATAACATTATGAATAATCTCACAAGGTTGGCGATTTGTGGCGATCAGACCTGTGAGCCCAGTACCCTAAAAGGAAAAGTACGGGTTAGCGTCCCGTCCGAGACTGGAGTTTTGCCCACAAATCGCCAACAATGTGAGACTTTCGCTTCGCGTACTGCGGCGTTAAAACAGCTGTTAACAAAACATCAAGTCAAAACAAATTATGAATAATGTTCACGAAGGCATTCTATAAACACCTGTTATGGAGATTAAGATTTTCGATTATAACCTCGGGCTACCACCTCTTAAATGATAGAGCTAGGCTTGGGATTAAGAAAAAATCGAGCCCACCACAATTCTGAATGGAATTTGAATGCGAGGCGCCTTCCAAAAGGTCACTGAACAGTCCTCCATCCATATTTAAGGTTGTTATTAAGCAAAAGAAAAAACCATACCTCAAAGACAGCTATCGAAATCGCTAATAATAACAACAGGATCAGGAATGTGGAGAAAAATACGTTCGCACATCGCCCGGACGACCGATGGGTCTCAACATCAGTGCATACAACAGATCCGTTCTTAGAAGTGACTGTCGTTGTCTGAACCATCAAACCTTGTGAAATGTGGAAACGAGTAGACTTTCTTTAGAACCAACCGTCCGTTTGATGATAACTTCTTCTTGAGATGTCGATGACGAAGGACTTCCTACCACAGTCACGCCGTGCTTGTCTCGTAACACATTATTTTCACCAGTTTCATCCGGTTCAGGCTGAAAAACGAATAAAACTAATTCGAAACTGTAGAGAAATGTGTGCAGATAGCATAGCTCCACCCACAGCAGCAGCTTGCGACTTAAAAAGCTCTCAAAGAGAAAAAAGGAAGACTTTGCGAAGCTATCCAGTGAAGTTAACGGATGCAACACGAATAAGGTGACTGGAACAATAAGCGCGGATTCTTAGACAATTGAAAAGCAGCCGCTCTTTGCAGTAAGGCTACGCTACAACAAATCAAATACGTCGTACCGAAGCCGTTGGACTGCGCTCGTACTTGACCAAACGTACGGTGAACGAAGTCTGAAAAGAGCCACAAGACTGAATAAAGGATGGCCTTTATGATGGATAGCCGTTAGAAAATCTGATAGAAAAGTTACAAGGCGTACTTTCTAAGACTTTCTAGGCACCAACAAAGTCCAATAAAACAAGGGGCTCATTTCGGCGATCTCTCGCCAACCAAAGTCAGCATTATTAGGTAGCAGTCCCCTATAGTCGTCTGATTAGAAACAACTTTCAGCAAGAAATTTGAGAAAGGCTCCTGCCGATTCACAGTAAACAACGCCCTGTTATCGGGCAACTTAACGGCCGAATGATTACTTGTTGCCTCTAAAGAAATGAGGCCGCAGGGTTTCCATGTGAACTTTCTTCCCGCTTTTCTTACAATCTTCACAACCTGTGAACCACACAAAACAAGACCCTTATCGAGCCAATCTATGGCCAAATAAATACCTGTCGTCTGGTTATCGAAATGAGGCCCCACAGAGGTCAGAAGGGAAGGCAACGTGCACAAGGGGAGCAGGATTTTAGTACTACACCAAACTTTTTTTGGTGAGGATTGAATATTTTGGACATACACATGCCAAGTCACAAGTAGAGGGGAGTCACTGTCCGGTTAAAATTTCAGCAGACTTGATAATTACTACACTTACTAACAACACAGCTGGAAAAGTAGGATAGGTGCGCTTAAACACTCATAGTTCACACCACTAAGGTAAGGGTAAGTAAGGTTAATGTAAGGTTAATACATACATGCAACTGAGTGTAGAAAAGCAAACACTGATAGGAAGCAAACTCATCATGAACATTTAGTAAACACACTCACCACATTCTCATTTCGCCTTTCAGTAGAGTCTTGGGTTGAGCCCACACTTACAGTCGACTGGATATTCGTTGGCTCACCAGCAACAGATGTTGTAGGTATCGACGGTGCGGCAGAAGTTGTGTCGATGACTTCAGCAGAAGATGCATTCTCAGTTGTAGCTAAACTCAGAACGGTGTAAAGAGGGGTGTGTTTCTAATGGGCCATAAACTGAATTAATGGTAGGTTCGTTTCACCTGTTGCTACTTCCTCGCCTATGTTTTGGTCCTTTTTGTTGATCTCGTTATTGTTATAGTTCAACTTCATGTTCGGTAGGGTTTGATACTTGTTTAGCCAAGGCTGTTCTCCACGTGGCTCTTGGCGAGGCAACTCAAAGCGTACAAATGCTGGTCTAAAGTAGTTCACTCATTATAACGACCCTCCAGATAAAAACAAAAAGCTAGCTCTACACATTCTTGGCGAGAAAAAGGTGGTAAAAGAGGTGCTTGAAATTTACAGAGCACTGGTAGAACATTGGTAATTAACACTAACCCATTTGCAGTGACCTCCGTATCCGATACAATGTCGGTATTCTCAATCTCACGCAAAACTCGACGTGAAGGGTAACGGAATGTAGAGCCTCGTGAGAGAAGAGGAATTCGCGGCCTGAAACCAGTCAAATAGAAAGTATTCAGCACATCTTCTACAAAATATGTATAATAGCCTGCATTATCAATCAAAAAGAAATCGACCATGCGTGTAATTCGTGAAACATCACAATCATTGCGCATGATCGGGTTTTCAATCAGTAATCACCACCTTTTGAACTAGATCTTTTTCTAATCCATAAGTATGTATTCCATTTCTAACTGATAGATATTTGGTATGTAAATATTTATAGGTTAAGCCAGAGCTGTTAAATTTCCTTGTCCCTCAAGATCCGTTTTCGGCGATCCAAATGATGAGTTGGATAACTTCATGTTTTTCCTAAAAGATTTTCACCAGCTAGTACATGAATCTTCCACAAATTACCGTACCGCTCATATATTGAAACGCGTACCGTAGGCTTACAACTTTAAATTCCTCCAGCTGAAAAGCTGTACATGGGAAACCCAGAGACTTTTTCTAAACAATCGCAGTCATCATCAAGAGAATACTGGTTCATTAAGTTGCCTGTTGTCGAACTCGATGCTCATCAGGTGATCTAGTTTAAGGACCTTCCTGCTGAGCCATGTTGTTCCACTACATTGAATTACGCCATACGCCTCTTCGTCGACGCATCCAAAGAATCGCTACTTCTTTACAGTTGAACGACCACTCCGTTGTCGAAACCCAATGGAAAAAGTTTCATTAGATTTCGGCAGCGGAGTGGCCGGATTCGAACTCGTAAAGAAGTATGTGTTGGAACAGCCGAGTAGACAGTTTGGTCACTATATGATCTAATAAGCAAGGAGAAGGTAGCCTTATAGGTATACGATGGTTGCCTTTTATATTTTGAGATTCGGCAACACTAGTGTAGCAATCTAGCAACTGACACCACTACCGTAAAGTTTGACTATTTTGAGGTTACGTTGCGAAATTTGAGCGCGATTTGTACTGTTTACATAAGTTATAAGATTTTGTTTAGGCCAAGTTAAACAAAACTGAAACAAATTTCGCGAAAATGCTCCTTTCGGGAGTTGAATTGTGAGTATTTTCGCGCGATTATTTTCTACAACTTTCGAAGTGGACTAACTCAACAGCAATGCATGGATGAACTTAGTTCGATTTTTGGTGATGAAGCTCCATCCAGGGCCAGTATTTATCGATGGTACAGTGAGTTCATCCGAGGTCGTAGTTCACTCGAAGAAGAATTTCGTGGAGGTCGTCCAAAATCAGTTGTTGTTCCGGAAACCGCTGATACTGTGCACAAACTAATATTGCAAGACCGTCATGTGACCTATTGTGAGATTGGGACAACCTTAGACATTAGTGGGACCAGCATACATTCAATATTGCATGAACATTTGACTGTAAAAAAAATTGTTTTTGAAAAATTTGTCAGTCACCCAAAAAAGGGACTCGTGTCGATTGGTCGAAAGAAATGCTCAGAAAATAAGATCGCAGTGCTTCGAAACACGTCTATGACATCGAGACAGGTGATGGATCATGGAGTTACGCGTATGAGCCCGAAAGGAAACAGCAGTCGACCGTATGGGTATTTCAAGATGAGCCAAATCCAACAAAAGCTGTCCGTGCACCAAGCACTTCCGGGCAATTGATCTCCTGTTTCTTTGGAGAAACTGGACATGTCGGAACCGTACCACTGGGACAAGCAGAACAGTCAATTCTGAGTGGTATACCACCATTTGTTTGCCAGTTGACTTCCAAAAAATCAGGAAAACCAACTGCTAAAAACAGATCACCCTTCACCACGACAATGCGAGCTCCCACGCATCGGCTCAAACAACTGCATTTTTGAGCACTCAAATCAACGATTTGACAGGTCATCAGCCATGGAGTCCCCGGGTGACTTCTTCTCATCCCGTACGTACAAAATAAAATGAGAGGTCCACGTTTTTCGACACCTGAAGAAGCCGTTGATGCGTTCAGAATCCATGTTTTAGAGTTACCTTCATCAGAGTGGCAAAAGTGCTTGGAAAATTGGTTCGAGCCCGTGCAAAAGTGTATAGATCTAAATGTAGAGAATTTTGAAAGGCAGAAAAGCGATTTCCAATAAATAGTATTTGTTTCTGTTCTCAAATCTCAAAATATAAAAGGCAACCTACGTACCTATGTGGTGGTGCGTATACGTCTAGGCTAACTGCCGGTCCACGTCCTCACGCCAGGAGCTACTCAAGAATATCTATTTGTTATATGGAGGGACAGGCATCAAAATAAATCCCTAGCGCCTGACAGAATCCATTCACGTTGGGTGGATTAATTTAGAAAAATTGCAAAATCTCTATGGCCACAATGGATTGCCTGATCTGGAAGGGCTAAAAGCTAGTGCTGACATGTATTTAATCTCAAAACCCGACAGACCCGAGTTACAGAAGTTGGCGAAAGAGCGTTCGTCAGAACCTGTGATGTCGGTAAAGAACGCACGCAATCAGCCACGAACATTGATTTGTACAGAGGCCGAACAACCCGATTCGGACACTTACGACTGGTGACATGTGGCCCATCAGTATTTCCGACAGCATTCTACGACTAGGCCGACATCAGGCTAGACAAGGGTGAGCTGGAGGCATTTCATATGGAATAAAGGTATTGATCACTGTCATTTTCAACGCGAAGACTGGCTCCAGCAGAATGCTTATAGATTTCCATAAAACTTGACAGCATGGAATGGATGGGGAAATGTAAAAAACTGTCAGAATCCATCATATCGACTTTCACAATCCGTAATAAGTCGCATTTGCGGAAATTGTATCATCTCTAATAGGTTTGAGACCTCTTCACCGGGCAGTTCAGCTCAATAACAGGAATGGATCACACCGAGACGGGAGAAAGAGTGCTTTGTCGGGTTGGTACCCCATTGTTTGGAAGTTTTTTTTTCAATGTTCGTAACTCATGGGTCGAAACCACTTCGCACTATTCACCTTCAGGAGAGTTCAGGGAAGATCCCGTCATCAATAACGTAGGGAAAGAATACAACTGGCCCGCAGAAATCTTTACGACAGTGCTAAGAATTCAAACAATTTGCATGTCATTCAAAAGTCTTTTTACTGAGCATTTGAAGGACTTCATCATGAGAATGCCACCTCGCCACGAATTGCCCATATTTGGTTGGACGTTGCGGAAGCAGAATGAACTCACGATCACTGTCATTCTATGCATTGTGGAGAGGAAAGCACTAAGTGGAACGGGAACCAAAGTTCCGAACCCCATCGCCATGCGATTTCATGGATGAATCAACAATTTTTCTCGCGCAGAGAAAAGAGGGCACGAATCAAAAAAAAAATGGTCACAGCGATTCCCGGGTGTGGTGCGGTAGGAACGAAGGACCAGTAAAAGATCATCGAGATCAGCATTTTTTTAGGTAGAGAGAGCTCGAGGCGGTTGCTCAGTGCTGGTACTTCAAAGGGGAAAAGTGAAGGTGTAACATACTAAATGAATTGCATTAACGTCAAGCCCCTGCCCAAGAATAGGCGTTGTCATGGAGAAGATGGACGGAAGTCATTCCTCACGCACTCTTCTCCCAGTGCGTGGGCGAAGTTCAAAGGGTTCGTTGCTGTTGAGAATAGTGATGATCGAGAAGCCCTGCTGGAGCGAGTTACACTGTAGCGTTCCCTTCGTTCACGGGATAGTTGCCTATCCAGAAAAACGCAACATAACCTTCTTTCGCCCCTGTTCGGCATTCCGAAATACTAGTTCACTCCCCTTGCAAGGTTCAGACGAAGGCTCCTTGTTGTTGCAACAGCAATTTCAACTTCTATCATTTGTTACAAAATTCTGTAAGATCCACTTTTATGAAGGATTATGCGCGTCCAGGTGGCAAATGGTGATGTTGGAGCTTCAGAAGGGATACTAATGGCATTGAGCGGCTTCTGCGAGAATAACGACATAAGTCAACGAAGAACCGCTTGAGGTTCATGCATCATCCCAGAATGATTAGATGTGTGAAGACTATGAAACCTCGACCCTAGTGAACTCAATCCCCTTGCACAAGCAATCTTTGCATGGTTGTTTCAATAACATTCTGAGATTATGGGCGAGAGCTTGACCTACTTTGAGAACTTCGGTTTGATCATTAGAGCGCTTTGTTCGTTGAAGAATGCTTGTTGGCTCAAGATGTGGTTCCAAAGGTGTTTCGCAAATGTACCAGATGGGCAGTGATATTTAAGCACCAGACGAGGTTTGCGATCTTGCAGCTGAAAAAATTTCGAAAGTACCGAAGAACTACGGATCTAAATGAACTTGGTTCTTTGAAGTGAGTTAGAATAACACAAACTGAATACCTTTGCCTTTTTTTCATTGCTCTCATCGATATCACCGCTACAACTCGGAGGAACGTAAGCGTCCATGGGGTAGATGTATAGTTCCTTCCCGATATAATCCACTTTTGATAGGTACGACCTGAACGATATGGCATCCATTTTTGAAACTTCAAAAAAAAAACTGTCAGAGCTCAGGTTTTTCGATGATTGGGATTTTCAATGAAACAGGTGTTACCACACAATATTCTTACCATGGTATGTGATGCACTTTCTGACTGGCATGATAAATCAGTATGCCCTTATGCGACACACCTAGATAGACGGCATGAGAGGGATCCTTCGGGTCCTGAAGGAAAAAATCATCCAAATAAATAACTTTGGAACGATTTTAGGATAATCTTTCAACCAATACGAACCTTAACTGTGTATGGATCAAAGCCATATGTATCAAGACGGCTCGCTTTCTCTAGAAACTCCAATTCGGCCGCGGAGGTCGATTTGCCTCTGAACATAGCACAAAGATCTTACGTCCATAACTGCGCACTGATGATTAACATCACCGCAAAGTCAGTCAGTAAAAACTGAACCTAAACCACTTCACTATGGTCACAAAGCATGCATTGGCTGTCCTTAAATCGTGACCGCGCTGATTTTGATACGTGAGTATTGGGAAAAACTGACATTTTCAGAGTTTTTCAGAGAAAGAATAGACATTCTTCAGGAAACTAACAATCTCCTCCCATCACAATCTAAGAAAACATTGTGCGTGTCCTACAGGCAACTGTTTACTACCATTATCCCAGTCCCCCACTTGCTAGAATAAAAGCCTGTTTTGGAGTAATTTGGTCATAAAGGAACTGTAGAAGTACTCGCGAGCACAATGTAATCTACACAAACTGAGTGGATCTTAACCCATTGACAACCATGCAGTCCACATGTGGACTGCATGGTTGTCAATGGNTGGTCCTAGAAGCTCTTCTAATTTTGCAATTGTAATGGTGTTTTTTCGAAGGGGTACATTACCTTGGTGAATTTTTCATTCTCATTCGTTGAACAACTTCAAAAAATAAGATATTTTGAAAAGACGGTCGCCATTAGCATTTCCAAATGAAAAGCTCGCAAAAATTTCCCGAAACGATTTCTGGTAATGATTAACCCATTAGCGACCGCGCCTTTTACATTGTCCTTACATTAACTTTTAATTTCTCTTATAACTGTAGTTGGAAGTGAATGATTTCTGGACCACAATGACTAGAGATTCTCTGGGAGGTTGTGAGCTCAGCCGATACTCGAAAACATGAAAAAATTATAAGAACACTTGATAAATAATATAAATACTACAACAGCACGATATGGTGTGGCCCTCTGGCGGACCACGCGGTCGTCAATGGGTTAAACAAGTGGCTGGGCTAAAACTTTCAAGGTTTTCTGTGACAGCGATTTATGGTCAGACGCTACGTTTCAGAGCTCATAAAGCGATGGCACTTTCCGTTCAAGACAGCTTTGTTCAGACAGCTTTGAAGAAAACTGGAGAAAGCCGCATGGATGGACTTGCAATAAAATCTGTGTAACACCAATAACTTCCACGTTCTAACTATCTTTGCAAGGACAACGCTTGATGGCTAGTTGTGAAATTTGCAAACTCGAAGAAGCGCCTCGTTTTATGTTCCACCGCATTATGAGCGAAAGCTTCAGCTACCTACCGTAATGACTTGTGTATTTCTGCAATCCGTTCTTCTAAACGTGGCGTCTGTTTCAAAAGTAATTTGTACTGCGACACATAGTTCCCAACATGTACAGATTCGTCGTAGTCTCCCAGCTGGGCTGAAAACCATGCTGCGCTTATCGTATGCCTAATAAAGAAGACTTTCACATCATACCCTGCAGGATGAGAGCTGCTAGCTCGGCTGACTGGTTCTGTGGACAATAGAGACGTCCGTGAAGCAGATCCCTCTGTAACTGCATGAATAGCTGGTACCTGGAATAAAACTGAAACTGAGAAAAATTTTCAGAATATCCTCTTCTACTCAAGCACTTTGCAATCGACTATTTTCATTCATTCAATTGAAAGCTGCAAAAGTAAAGTGCAAAGTCATTCTTGCATATGAAAAGTATAATGCGACGAGTAATGTGTAATAATGAGGAGTTAAGGTGCCATTAGAAAAGGTCGCTTTTTGATGCGTCTCGGGTCAGGAATTGCCTATTTATTCTTTTAAACTGCGAAGCCGACCTTGTGAAATAAGTCGAAGAGGTTTCCAGCATAGTCATGCTCGTGCTTATGCGAAAAAGACATTCAGAGGCAGTATGACGCATTTTCCTTCGCTGATTTCGAGGGCAATGACGAATTTTCCCATTTCTAACTAATGTCAGAAATACCAATATCGAGGCGAAAAGAAAAAGAAGAAATAAGAACAAATAAGAGGTTTGGGAAGTATTTTCCAGCATAAAAACAGTAGACTGCACGTCTCAGCCAATATCGAAGATGATAATTACATTCCGAAAGGTCCGAAAAAGCAAGCACTCCTGAAGAACTGCAAAAAATCTTCGAGCTCGCTGACTTTCCTTCAGCTCTCGACAAAAAATCACGTCTTACATCGCACGTAACTGATTGATGTGAATCCACTCGTTAAAAAATCAGCCCAGAACTATTTTAGGTTGGCAACAGGATTGGAGGACAGATCAATAAAAAGACAAGTACCAACCTAAATCCAAGTTGAATATGTTCAAAAAGAATCGAATCCTATCTGCGCTACTGGTTTGTTTTGAGAACAAATTACTATTCTCACTAGCATCTTCGGACTAAATGCTGTTGAGAAGAGACTATGCCCTAGCACTCAAGCCAGAAACCAAGATGCTGTCACAAACTACGCTATAATACCGAAAATTTTTATTTTTTTGGGTATAAATGTCTGAGGCTTCCTTTTCGCTTATCGATTGTGAATGAGCTTCTCCGCAAATGTCTGAGCTCAGCTCAGATTGATGGCCATATACATTCTATGAAGGCGTAGTGCCGTCTAATCTCACTTCAACTCGATAAAACACCGAACGCGTGACAGCGCTGCGAAAAACACCAGCCGTCTAAAACACACTGTTACAACGCATCTGCTGGACTTTCGCCCGATACAAAAACAACCTAATGCTAAGAATTGCGCAAAGTCTTTCTGAGTGTTACGTGGGTTTTCGGTTTCAAAGAAAGCCGCTGTGGATCAAGCTTCAAATATCTAATGAATATGCTGAAGAAACACTTTACAGAAAACAACCAGCTCATCGGCCTACGTTCAAGAAAGTGCTGCATGAGAAAGAAGCTTTATATTGTTCGACGGCGAGCACGATTCCAGTTCTCCGTTGAATATGAAAATTTTCGAATCGCATGCACGCTCCGACGCAGCATAATAAAACAGTCAACGTTAACGCAAACGCAGATGCGACAGACTCTCGTCGGCATTGAACTACGCGTTTTTCAAACGGCGGACGGAGGTGTCTGCGGTCAGGCCCAACAGGCTGACTGAGACGTGACATTTGCCCATCTCAGTAACTCCACATAATTTTCCTTATCCCCCATTTTTCTCGAAAACGCGAAACCTCTGCACCAACATCATATTCTGTGAGTCACATCATTTCACGAAGAAAACTAGTTTTCATTCAAAAAGGGGAACGACATGAATGTCTTGGAAACCACCGCTGAAGAAGAGCTCGTAGTAATTGGTTGGCCAATAAACTTTTTCGTGCGCGAGAATGGAAGGCCTATATTTCAAAGCCAATGGAAGTTCAACTTATGCAGCACAGCGCCCTTTACATATGTGTTTACTTTCCTTTCTCATGGGAAGGTTTCACGTTTCCCAAAGAACGTGTAACTATTGATAGAATGGCCATGAAAATGTATGCAACGAATACCGGTTTTTTCGAAGTCGAATATTCGCCAGGCTATTCCCCCAGAGTTTCATGGCGATCGAATGTACGTATTCGATGCAAGTGGTGTTTATGAGGAAGAAAAAAACAAAGCTCATGATAATCGAAAAGCAAACATTGGATCATCGATAATAACAATCAATGCTTCGTTTCCCTCTTTGTGATTATTGTGAGACCCCCAAAAGTACAAAATAAAGCATATGTATAGTGAATGGAAAGGCGAAGTTTCATTGTTTATTGCACTTTTCGTTTACATTAAAACCAGTTCGAAATGCGAACTCTAAAAAAAATGTAGAAAAATTTTGTTCAACGTTCCACGAACCTGCTAACATTTTCTCTCAAATGTGATGGCTCAGCTGGGTAATAGCGGAAGCGCAATCGAAGAGCAAGGGAATCGGCTGTAATGGAAAAAATTCATTCAGCAAGCCAAAGTCACATAATTTTCAGCATGAAAGATGAACAATCACTTACATTTGAATTGTTTCGCGATATGCGAAATTGGTCGTGACAGGTCCACCCAATACTAAACAAACAACTTGTAGACAACATTGTAAAAAGAGACCGAGACAATTAGCGACATACACGGTACTTGTTATGGTCCTGGTAACGAAGCCCGAGATAGTCCTTTTCACGAATATTCTTCAGCTCACAGATATAGTCCAATATCGCTTGAGCTGGTTGCGATCTCTGAAAGCCTTTTTTCATGCAAATCATAAGATGTCACACTATCAGAGAATTGTATTTACAAGCGGATACTTCCAGGTGGAACAAAAGAGAGTCGCGGATCATGGAATACAAGTGTGCGTCAAGTAGTCCGAGTAGAAAAAGCATGCAAAACACACTCAACTGTTTTACAAAAACCGCACATCGAACAAAGAGTCGGCTCATTCATACTTATTAAAAAAANAAAAAAACCTCTTTAAAGGGAATGTTTTTGCTATCTGGAACGGGTGCAAAGCCTAATTTCAGCCTAAAGTGATTGCATTTGGGCTGGTCGAACAAGAGGTAAGCCATTCCTTTGCGATCAAACAAAATAACTATAAGAATTAAATGGTCGACGAATGATTTTAATGTTCCTAGGGGACCGCTGGACGCACAACGCCCTCGAAAAATAAGGGATCAACATGTTCGCTTCAGAGTCGACAGATAGGAACGGATGAAAACGGAGGGTTCGAATCTATTGCACACCTGTGAGAAGGTGTGATGATGAGAAGATGTGGACAGATGAGTAAGAAGCCCAACTGCACTACTACCCGCTTGATACTTCTATAAGGCCACAGAACTCCAAATGGGACCCATTTTTTAGCCCTGATGGTGGATATTGACTGAAAGCGGATATCTGCTCGCATTCTTGAACGCTCTCGTAGTCTGAAGCGGACATCGTCGTATCCGGAATTCGCCGCATCAGCCACCGCTAGATCAATGCCCAATATGGCCACGGAGAGGGCGCAGACGACGGCAGACCATGTGGGGAAGATTGATCGGTGAGCCCNATCAGCTATGAAGCCAAGATTCTCTTTTGAATTTCTTCGAATCGATTTTGGATAGAGCGAATGAAGTGGGACGACACGATTCCGTTGATGCTGTTTTTTCTTCATATGAAGCTCGTAGCAGATAAAATTTAGTGAGCGCCGAGGCTATTTGCTAATGCCGATTTTAAGTAGGACAGTAAATACTAGTAGTAAGTTGTTTGCACAGTTATTCGATCTCGAAGATACCCAGGATTATCGGTTTTGTGGTGATTTCTGTACAAAACAAAAAGAGAAAGAGAAGGTAGCGCTGCTAACGCGACAGAAGAGTTGAGGGGTTCAGAATGGAATGGAATGCAACAAAGAAAACAAAGTAAACAAAAATAAAACAAGATCAAAACAAAAGGTAAGCTGGTCCCACCTTGAACTCATTGATGACAGTGTCGGCGTCGTTGAGTAGCTGAACGGTGACTTTGACTTCCTTTGATGAAATGAAGCTGGAGCGGGCCGAAAGTCGGCCCAAAAAGGAAGAGGACGAGTTGAGCGTCGGCATTCTTCGGATCTTGGGGGGAACAGAACCGTTGACGATGGACTAACCGTCAATGGGCATCGACTCTGCAAGAGTCTCTTCTCGCACGACCTCTCGACAGCTCGGTGCACCCGCGACGGACGCGGGCCCCGTCGTCCCCGCCGAGGCGCCGCCCCCTCACCGCAACGCGCCGCCCCCCACAGGACGTTCCGCACGGGACCAGCGGCCGCAGCAGCTACGTGGGGGGCCGGCGACTCATTGTTCGAGGTGATGAGGCATGGATTCGTCCCGAATCCCGAAGTTCGGTCAAGTTTGCTCACCTGTTATGAATCGATGGGAATGTTGTTTGATCACTGTTCCCACAGCATGTTGCTGTTTTCTTTCGCTTGGGAGCTTAGGTGCAAACTTGAGGAAGGGCTCATGCCGGGCAGCAAATCCTGAACTTCGTTTGTTCGAGGTGATGCTGTATGAATTCGTCCTGAGCTTTGGTTAGTTTGGTCCAACCAAATTGCCATGTGTTTATTGAGTGGGGATGGAAATCTGTGATGCAGATGTGGGGAAGAGCTTTCAAATGTTCTTACGACCCCCTAATTGGCGATCAATGGGGAGCCCATGACGCGACATAGCAATTAGGTTATTGGGTCGAGGGGCCATTCAGAAGCATCAATTCTATGAACTTGATAGGATCTCCTTGTTATACGCCATCGAGAGCCTCTTTGGGGATGTTCACCGTCTTCTCCCGCATTACATGGAACACAGGAATGGGATTACGTGGCGCTGCCATTTTCTCGAAACAAGTTTCTCGTTTCCATTCATTTTGTGACGACAAACTACCATTACCTTTTTGTTATTCATGTTCACCAGGTAATTACTGTACTACGTCACAGGAAAAATGTAGAACATCAAGCCCGGGTCGATTATTTTGCAGATGTAATGCACTTTCTAAAGAGTAGTACGGACGGATGTGGGAGGCGGGTAGTGTAGTGCCAGATGGCGATTACCACACGTATAGTTGCCGGATCAAATCCCAGACAGATGAGCGCCTTGGACAGCCAAGCATCCTATTCCTCAGGGGTCGGCAAAGGGTTTGCGGACTTAGCTCTAGAAGCATTTGGTGGGGCCTCTCCGCGCTTCTACACAATTTCCGACAAGGTAGCCTCGCTTGATCCTCTAATTGCTGACCTCTCTCCCTCGAGCTTCTTATAGGTTTTCCTAACATCGTTCCCCCAAATTGGAAATTTCATTATAATTACATATTTTTGAACTACAATGACAATCAAAATCAAGTCAATATAAACTATGCCGGAGAATCCATTAAGTCTTTTCGGTGGCATGGATCTATTGGTAATCCAACTACAGAGCAGTGCTTCTTCAAAGCGAGAGTTCGTAGTGCTACCATACGCAAGGAATGAGTGAAAGGAGGGTTGGGATGCAAAAGGAGAAAAATCACAGGTACGTCAAAGTGAGGGGAAGAGTCTGAAGTCGTGATGAAGTCTTTTACTGTGCTTGACTAGCTTGAAGGCAGGATCACTATAATTTTGGGGTATCCATTTCCAGAAGAGTAATGAAAGTGATAGTCTAGAATAGTGCAAAAGTGGCGAGGAAAACGCTAAAATTGCTATTCAGAGAAGTACAACGCTTCAAAAAAGTGAGTAGATTGGGGGTTTCACGAGAATGTGACGACAAAAGGTGCATGGAAGGGCTATTCCGACAAGTTGTGTGGATGGGTGCACTACTGCGTACAGCAGGCTACAGTAAGCTGCCTGCGTGCAACCTGTGCGTCCCGGTGCAAATGGTGCAGCCTTTACAGCCTCTGCAGAGCCATGAGAATTCGTCCGTTCTTGGGTGTGTACGTCGGCCCGGATTAGACCCTATCAAATGCGTTTTCCGACTCGACAGCGTCCTTGAAGATAAATTCTGCTATCCTTGAAGGTCAGACATTCATCCTGATAAGAAACCTCACAAATCATTTTTATCGTAAACTTTGCCTTCAACACACGGATACGCAGGAAGAGGAAGAAGCAAGTAAGGGAGTTGTGTTGTTTTGGAGACAGTGAATGGGGTCTGGTAGAGGTCGTGCTGATGTATGTCTGACATCATACTTGTGCGGTGATGACCCCAACCAAATGTATTCATGTTTCTTTCATCTGTATGGCTGAATACCTTTGAGTACCTGTAGGCGGATTTTTGTCTATTGTCAAAAAAAAAACAACGGAAGGTGTCAAAAAACCTGAAATGCACCATCTTAGAACTAGTTTTTTTCAGACGGGTTGGGGAACTGTGTTCTTACAATGAATGTGTGTTTTCCACATTATGATGTTTTCTTTGTTTCCCCCCACTGCAGTTATGATTTTTAGATCCTACATCGTAGCCTATTCAATGTTGACATGATTTTGATTTTTACATTTTGTTTAGCCATTCAGGAATACGCACTTGTAATAAGGTTTCAAAACCAAAGATATTTGGCTCGGATTAGCATGAATGACGGAGGTTGGCAGTCAGCCATTTGGGCGGGTGAGCGAAGATCTCGCACCTCACCTCCACTCGGGGGCCTGTGGGAGTTTCTCCGTTTAGAACTAATTTCTCCCTCCCGGTCAACAAAGCGGCACCAGACTCTAGGATAAAACCAATGACTTGCACATCAGCTGGCTACCACAAATCATTGTGTAGGTTACGTACGCGCTGAAAGCCCATCGTGATTCTGAATATAAGCTCAAAGTGAGGGTGCAGTCCAGGAACGAGAATGGCTGATGCCACGTGTTTCTACTTACTAACTTTAATAACGAGTGAATGTAGTAGTATGAATGGGATTTTGGGGGAAGAACATTAGCGAGAACATGCGGGTACCCTATTAACTACCGAAAAATGTTCTAATCGCTCGGTGAGAAATTCGATCCTGGGATCGTGATGTTAACAAATGTCTCGTACCCTACGAAAACTTCGCTGTTCTTCAGCCAAAATCGTGTTGTGGTCAATAAAGTGATGCTGACGTGTGATAATCGAAAAGCCTCGAGGAGGTAAACCTTAGTACGGCTGCACTTTGAGCACCGAAAATAAGGCGACGTCATGGCGATTCAGAGGATTTTATTGGAAACGTAGTTTTTGTGAGAATGAAAACGCCCATTTCCTGATACACAAGCAGGAGCTGTTCGGTTAATTACAACTCTTTTCCTCCTCCTCTTTTGCCCTGAATTTTCTTCAGTGTGGTAGATAGAATGCTTCTGCCTCTCGGGTGCCCTTCACTCCGTGATTGTTTTCCATTTACTCTCCCGAACACAGATAAGAATCGTAACCAACGCCATGGCACTGCATAACGGACGAAAATTATATGACAGCTGAAGACAGGAGGATTCTGAGTGTTTCTTCTGGGCGATCGTGATCCTCTGTGTTCCATTCCAATTCCAATCTTGTTCAAGGGACGAAAGGCTGAAGCGAGACAACAATGAAGGACTGTGAATTTGCCGTTCTTCCTAGTTCTCGTTTGGAGCAGGTCGAAGGACAACTTTTGCGAGGGGTCAATGTACTTGTTGTACTTTGTGCGCTTGCACAACAAAGGGGTCTGCAGTAGTACGATTCCTCCCATTTACAGATGCAATCTGCTCCGCTCTGCACTAGGTCATTCTTGAAAATTCCATTTGAGGTGAACGCATAAGGAGAAGGAAGCAATGAGTAGATGGGGTCATTCGTAAAATGCGCTCTGGGTCTACCGTCTAATGAGCATGTCAGATCCACCGGTCCAAGGTAGACGATTGTGCAGGCAACAGGCTGAGTATAAGAGCTGCCAGACGGTGAGGCTGGAAAAAACCGTGGACTTGGACAAGTAATTGTCATCTACTTGGAAAATTCGTACTTTGGAACTATCAAGAGAAAGAATTCCTTTCTGTATCTCCAGTATAATGAAGTTTCGAGTGGAACGGATACTTGTTCACCATCTGTTCCAGAAAGACGGCGGAAACCTAATAGTGTTTTAATGCCATTCTCTCGTTTTCTTCCATCTTTTGGATTGAATTTTAAATGTGAGGTTGACCGATTTGCCTTGAAGTTTTTCAGTTTGAACGTGAGCGCCAGCCGATTACGAGTTGCGTTCTATTTCTGAACGCAGCGCAAACAAACATCCCATCGTTCGATAGCGACATCAAATCGAACCTTGTCCGCTAGGGGACTCCTTCCCGTCAGCAGACTGACATTACTGCGTTATCTCCTTACGGCTACTTTCATCGCTGGGGAAGTCGTGCTGATAGTTCCCCACGTAATTTCGAAGTGAGTGAAACCAGCCGGTTTCTCGAATAGTATATCCGTTTTTGCGCCACACATATATGCGTCGATGACTTCTCTTGATTGCACCCAGTAAAAGAAACCAGTCGGAAGAGTATGCACTTGTAAGTCCTCACGAGTGCGAATGAGTGCAAGGTGCTGGCTGTGTCCTTCATCGGGCACCCCGGAGAGGCCATCATCAGTGGCTTGTAGTCGTAACTTGCACGTGTTGGACAGCCCTGGGATTCGCATTGAAGTCACATTTTGTGATAGTACTCGGCTTTCCTCAGTTTTGTCTTATGAGGGTGGATGTGATTAGTGCGTAGCGCACTATAATATAGGCATGTTTCGGAGATAGAATCCTAGATTGATTTTCGCCCATCTTTTCATCGCTCAGAGATCGTTTACCAATGCCAGACTCTGAAAGAAAAGGTGGCCTGGGAGGATGAAAGTACTGACTTGTGCATCCATTGCCAGACGCAAGCATTGTATGGACCACACACACATTCAAAACGTCGCTAAAGCTGAATGGAAGTCGAAGAGGGCACGTCCCGAAAACAGGAGTTTTAATCACTCCTGTTTTCAGGATGTGCCCTCAGCGGGGTACTGATAAGCGAAAAGATCTGAGANATTCCTCCTGTCGTAAAGATTTTAACAACTACTGGTTTAGAAGTGGTGGAATTCTCTGCGTTACATATGTGGCAATGATTTCGTCCCTCTTCCAAACGAAAATGAGGTGCTATGAATAGCTAACTAATAATTGAAATCTC